GTGATCTTGAAGAGCAATTCGCTGGAGGACAAAATTGCTGGTACGAAAATGACGTGCTTGTTGTGACCGAACAGCTACGATACCAACCTTGCACTCAGCTGTATCAGCGAGTATTGCGAGCAGATGAACATGCATCATTCTAAAGTCGGACGCCTCGTGAGGCGCTCATTCGTTTGGCGCATTCTTTTTGCAGCCATGCGTCTACAACATGCTTGCGTGCCAGAGAGACTACCAAGGAGCAAATGAGCCGTTGGCCATACTTGCAAGACAATGCAGACCAGACGACAAATGAAGCACCGAAAGATCTGGTGAGATGGTGGCTGATCCGAGTGTCAGCCTGCAACTGATAGACAAGCCGTCTGGATGCTTACTTGGCTATGCTTCATCATAGGGTCTGTCCACAAGATGACTGACATCGCACACTTACAACAAGTTGTTCGGAACACTTGTCATTGAGTAACGTGTCTTATCTACTTCATGGTTCGATCGGGTACTTGCTGTTGTGGAAGTGTTTTATGGTGAGTCGACTTTTGGTGCTGTATCAAGTCATGCATTCCAGAGCGGTGACACTATCTCATCATCGCCACGGTCCTGTGGATCAGCACAACACCACGACGTGGGAGCAAGACGGTTTTTGGGTGGTTTGGTTGGTACAGGAGGAGTGTTGTACACCACTTTCCTCTACTGTCGGAGGCGCTTCGAAGAACAGTCAAGCTCACAGTACATATGCTCGTCGTGAGGGTGGCCGGTATCGGAGGATACACGGAAGTCCATCGCACAATGTCGAACGGTACAAACCGACCTGTAAACACACGATGCTGGATCTGCTGGAGATGGTGTCCTGAAACAAAGAACGCGCTGCTGGCCAATCAAGCAGAGCTAGTATCCACTTCGGCAGTGATTGCGTTGCATTGACGTATGCTTGTTTACAGCTTTCCGCGCACACCTCAATTGAAGAGAGTTGCGAAACCGGCGTCAATGCCAAGCCGCACCGCATCAGAAAAAATTAACGTCAGCCATTCACATGTTGTGCCGGATCTCTTCCATGGGCTGCACAGTGGTTGGACGCGCTGCTACAATCCCCTTAGCTAGGTAGCTAGCTAGTTGGGAACCCTCGCAGGCGAGTTGCTTTCGCCAGGTTGGACCTATCCTCAATAGAATTGACAAACGACGCCAGACGATATCGCCGTCACTGTTTGTCGGTTAAGAGCACGATGTTCGTACTATTCTTGATGCAACGTGACCTGCTTTCAGATGTCGATGATGAAACGTCGCATCTCGCACCGAAATCTCAGCCAGCAACAGTCGCATTCGTCTGTCCGGTCGTTTCGAAGGCTCATTCATTTGATGTCAACAGGCGTGCGTTTCTTTCACAACCGACACCGGGTGCAACAGAAGTTCATCTCACAGAAAACGGTAAACCTGCTTTTGATTCGATACGATTGACTCGACGCCCGGTCCGGCTTGCACGTCTGCTTGCTTTTTATCATTCTGTAACTTGCCAAGACTTCCCAGCATCCCTCACCACCTTCACTCTAAGATGAAACTCTCCATTTGCCTCCTACTCGCTGCGGTCACAGCTACGACGATCTGTGTACAAGCAACGGATACCCGTCCGAACGAACTTCTTGATGGACTTGACGTGCTTTCTCATATCCTCACGGATAAGGACAGTCGGGTGTATGTCGAAGATGATGGACATGACCACTACCACGACCACGATGACTACCACCACAAGAACAACTAGGCCCTTCAACCAATCCCTTCTGCCAAGCTTTTCATGCGATCAAAGTCTCGGCGACCGCGATGACATTGAACGGAGTTGATGACGAGAGACAAGCTTGTCCTGAACCTGTCCCACGAATCGACTGTATCTGTTCAAGCAGTTCAAGCCGTAGGCGTGGATTCGTAGACTAGTGAAGGGGTAACGCGACATCAATGTAGCCAACCTTCAACTCGTTCAAAATCAATTCTGACTTCTTTATCCATTGACTTCTGTACTCTCGTGTAGCAATCAGCTATCGCAAAAGACAGTACGCCCATGTGCTAGACCCGACACATGAGGCTCACCTTGAGCTTCTGTATTCTTGCCTATCTATCTATCTATCTATCTATCTATCTATCTATCTATCTATCTATCTATCTATCTATCTATCTATCTATCTATCTATCTGGGTAGTCTTTCCTTCGTGTGTTCGAGAAATAAATCAGAGTTCCGACGACAATATCGGTGAGCGAGCCGGCATCAACGTGAGTCCTGTACAGAATGTGATGCGCCAAGCATTGCGGGATTTCATTCGAATGTAGGCTTGAAGACCGACGGATCAGCAGATACGATACGGATCACGCCAGTCATCCGACAAGCCTGCATGGTTGTGAGCGTGGTTGTCGACTACGGCAGCACGTTGTATGACGAGACTCTCACGCGTGTCCGAAACACGGTTTATGTGTCGCATGCCAGAGACGAAGTACGTAGCGTGTTTCGCTTATTTCGTACTTGACAAGCAACGAGTGTCAGCTACTATCTCGTGTCTGCATCATCGAAACTGGTACCACGCTGCTCGAAGACGATACGAATGGGTCATGTTATCCCACCAACAAGGTTGGTGCGGTTCCCACGATGTTCGTGCGCAATACTTCATGCGTTGGCGAGTGCAGTCACTACTCGGCATCATTGCGCTCCCTCGTACTGTCACTGACAACCTGGTCCTTGCGCCCATCTACGACAATGTCGCCGCTTTCGGTGGGACGAGAGTTCCTTTCTATTCTGCTTGCAGTTTGGCTCATGCAGAGCAGCTGTTTCTACTTGAGTACTAAGGGCAGCTTACGGCGTAACGAGGCCTTCAGGCCCGGTGGTGCATCACTCGACGCATCGGACGCCTATGGCCGCCATCTCTTGCTTAAGGTATGGACCAATTCTTTTGAGCCAGTTACATCTCGGCTCCAAGGCTGGATGGGTGACATGCTTTACATACCTCAAAATGTACGAGGATTCAAGGACAGCGTGCGCGACAGTTGGATGTCGGGTTGGCGGGCTAAGACAAATCGACACAGAACAGGGGCTTGGTGCATCCAGGGCACACATGTGCACACAAAGCAGAGGCAACTCGGCTGCGATATCCGTGGGCTCGACTATGGGGTCAGCATCTTAACCCGACTTCCCCTGTCCTATCGTACTGGAGTATTGGCTCGTCAAAACGGGCAGGAGTTGCTGTTCTTGTAATGGGGCACCCTGAAGCTTGTACTGGTGACAGTACAAGCTACTTATTCTGATAACAGAATAAGGCGGTGCCTCGTAACTTCACGTACACTCGTACGTGCAGAGGAAGACGGTAAGAAGAAGCGAGTACTTGGTTAGAGTAAAAAGTAGAACTGTATTTATAATAGTTAATGTCTGCAATAAATCACTATTTATCTTCATCTAACTATGTCTAAATACAAATGTGTAAATCAGTTATCTGCTCACCACTCATTGCGTGCGTCTGTCGTGGCGCGTCTTCGTTGGTTGATATAATGGCCTATATCAACCAATTAGGAACTACTTGGAAGTGCTACAGAATATTGTCCTTACGACAATATTCTGAGAATATAACTCTTATAGTTATATTCTATCAACAATTTCTTATAAATTGTTATGTAACGATTCACCCCGTTACATCACCCCCCTTAACCATCAGTCACTTTAGTGACTGATTGACTAAATGGATACTCGTCCCAAATCATTTGGGACGGGGTTCGCACTTGTTGGTCCGCGTCCACTTTCCAACATCTCATCGCATGGTAAACAAGCCCATGCGATGCGCGAGCAAGGCCGCCGAGAGCGCGTCTGCACGTCTCTGTGCGGACGCCGAAGCAGAAACTACAGCAACTGATGTCCCATCGGTTGCTGAATCGACTCAGCCTGTATCACCTGGTGATGCAGGCGCTGGTCATGAAGACACTCGTGTCTTCACAGAGTACGAGCTCGGTGTCTCGTACTCTCCTGATACGGATGACGGATCCGTATCGACGGCAATTGAATCCAAGCCGCCTGCCAAGCGTGGCATGGACGATGCTTTGCGTCGCAGCATCTTTGGTTCATCTGATGAGTCAGATGAACCATCGCCGAAGCGAAGGCGCTCGAGGTCGCGAGACTCGGGCGCTAATAGTGGTGTCGTTTCTCTAATGGACACCACTTCACAGCGAGGTGCCAGTACTTCTGTCGGCACGTCGCAGGAAGAGCGGGACCGCAATGTGTTGCGTCTCGCTCCAGAAAAGAAGGCATGGATGCCTCCTAAATCTGTCATGGATCACTTGTCGGCGACGACAAGTGATCGTTATCGAACACGATTGTTCGATTCGTCAAGGATCCATCACCTTGACCCCAGCGCGAAAGACTATCGCGCTGAACATGAGTTCTTCATCGATGCTTTCTTTAGACATCGATGGTACAGTGGGAATCACAAACGTGATGGTCCCTCACTACTTCAGGCGTGGAACGCCTACATCCATAATCTCGAGGATGTAGGTCGTGACGCTTGGAACGGCAAACTTATCAAAGCTCGTGATAAGTTTGAAAAGCGAACCCCGACAGGTGCACGCTACAAGCTGCATCGTCTGTCAAGGGAGAAAGGATTACCCTGCCTTTCTTGGGGAGACTCGTGCCCATGTTGTGTGAACAACTCTGCACGAGCACCTAAGGAGGCTTACCTTCCTAATAGCGCGTGGTGGCGCGCACGTATCTCTACTGAGATGTACGAAGGGATTGACAACCTGAAATCCCTTTACGACCGTGCCGGGAAGACTTTCTCCGGCGGTCCTTCTGCGGCACAGGATGTGTCGCGTCGTACTGCTCAACCAGACCCAGTACGTCGATCATCAGTTGGGAGCGGGCTCCCAAGAATCCCAGGACGGGGGATAGCCGCGCCACCGGACGAGATAACTCGTCCGACGTCCGTTCACGTCGCGGTGGTTCAACAGCTGCTCTACTAGATAGCGCTGGCCACCGCGAGAGTCCTCTAATGGAGGTGGAGGAGGAGGAAAGACGCTCTCCACACGATCATGTGGATCGGTGTGTTCCCGAGAGCTTCTTTGATCGCGTAACGCAAGGGTTACGCGACGATCTCGAGCATCAGCGGAATAGGCGTCTCCAAATGGCGGACACTGCCTCGAAGCATCGAGCTGAGTTTGCCTTTGCTCAGCTTGAGAACGAGAGATCTCTGACATCTCTTCGTGACGAGCTAAGGGTAGCTCGTGGGATTGTTGATCGGTCTCGGGCTGAGATAACTGCTCTTCAGACCCTTGTTGATGCCCACCATCGGGAGCACAAGGCTCTCTGCGAGATGCTTGAGCGCAAGGGCGTTCTTCATCGGAAGAAGCAGCGTACTGATGGTACGGCTTAAGCCGACCAACGTAAAACGTGGGATGCGTTCGCATCTTACGTGGTAACTCGATCGTGTATGCATTGCCTAGGCGGTGCAATACACGAAATGGGCCGATGTACTTGGGTAGTAGTTTACTGCTACCCAAGTTAGTCACTACATGTTTTGGTAGATTAACCGTAGACAGTAGGACTAAGTCACCTTTATTAAATAAAAGAGTGTTTGCCCTTCCATTCTTGTCAGCGTTTTGCTTTTGCTTATCCACCGCTTCGGCGATGGAGTCTTGCACAAAACGGACTACCGTTTCACGAGCCAGTATGAACTCATCTGATGACTCGTTAGCTTCAGTGTGCTGTGAGCGCACTGCAGCGACAACAACCTTTTCTTCAGTGAGGGCTTCCGCACTCTGACTGGGATCATCTTCATCAGTGAGTGCTTCCGCACTCTCACTGGCATCATCTTCTTCGATATCGATGTTATCGATATCGGCATCAAACGCAATGACTTCTTCGTCAGAGCGTGATGAGCGTGAACCAATTCGGTTTTTGCTCGCGCGAGTCCCTCCCCCCTTAAACCAGAGTTACATTCTAGTAAGGTGGTTACACGCGGATGGCGCAAGCCATTCACGTAAAACGGTGTATGTGTCGTGGACGCATGCACCGAGTTGTTGATGGCAAACTCTACCATCGGCAAAAACTCACTCCAACTCTTAAAGGAGTGTACGTATCCTCGAAGTATCTCTTCAAGGACACGATTGGCACGTTCCGTCTGACCATCTGACTCTGGATGATCAGATGTTGACACCTTCAAGCGCGTTCCGAGTGATTTGAACACGGAACGCCAGAAATCAGCAGTGAATCGTGGATCTCTGTCTGATACGAGTTCACGGGGCAACCCATGAAGTCGGAAGATGGTGTCAATAAAGACACAAGCACAGCCACTTGCCGTGATTGTCTCTGGTACAGCCACAAGGTGTACCATTTTGCTGAATCTGTCAACAAATACGAGAATACCCGTATTCCCGCGTGCGTCTTTGGGTAACCCGAAGACGAAATCCATTGAGATGGATTCCCAGCACTCAGCCGGAACCGGTAGAGGCTGTAAAGGTGCACGCAGTGAAGGACTTGACTTCACTCGTTGGCAGACTTCGCATGCGCGAACATACTTTCGCACAAACTGATACTGGCGGGGCCAGTAAAAGTCTCGACTTACCGTGAGATATGTTCTCTCTCGGCCACGATGTCCTCCTATAGGAGCATCGTGATACTCGAACATGATCCGCAAACGCAGATCAGTATCATCTGGAATGACAACACGTGGTGTGTCACCAGAAACGGCTGTATAGTACAGTAAACCGTTACGAGTAGTGTATCGATCTGATGCAGATCGATACGCAGACGACAATCGTTTCAACGATTCTCGAGATGGTTGGGAGAGATGTGACAACAACTTCACTATCTCACCATCTTGGGCGTATGCCCGCCTCACATCATCATACAACGTTGTAGATGGGACTGAGGACGTCATAACCGCAACAGTGACTGTCTCACTGTTGGGTTTCGCGACCGTTTCAAAGTCGGGACGACGTGAGAGTGCATCAGCGACGACACTAAGTCGTCCTGGTTTGTACTCGACCGTAAAGTTGTATTCTGCAAAGAATGACAACCACCGCGCCATTCGTTGTGAAAGGTGCGGGCTGTTCACTGCCGTGCGTAAGGACGCATGGTCAGTGTAAACAACGAAGGGTCTATCTCCTAATAGATAGACTCTGAACTTCGCGAGTGCATACTTCATGGCAAGGAGTTCCTTGTCATGCACTGGATAGTTCCGCTCAGCTGGTTGCAGCTGACGCGACTGATAGCAGACGACGCGTTCAACGCCTTCAAGGTCGTACTGCATTAATGCACAGCCGATTGCGAAATCGCTGGCATCACAGACCACACGAAATGGCCTGTCCTGATCGGCTATTGCTAGGACTGGGGATTGTATCAAGCTCTGCTTGATACCCTCAAAGGAGCGTTGACATTCAGCGTTCCATAACCACCTCTCGTTCTTTTTCAACAAACGAGAGAGGTGTACAGTCATCTCGGCGTAATTGCGTGAATACTTATGCAAATACGCCGCTAGCCCAAGGAATTTTCGAAGACCTTTGACATCGACCGGCACGGGCCAGTCGGTGATCGCCTTGATCTTTTCGGGATCAGGACGTACACCGTTCTTACCAACGATGCACCCAAGAAGTGGTATTTCGCTTGCTGCAAATATACACTTCTTGAGGTTTGCATACAATTGATGCTTTCGCATGATTGTAAGAACCTGTCGGACGTGGTACTTGTGAACCTCAACGTCCGACTTTCCATCCATAGCTCGACTATGGATGAATACGTCATCGAAATAACTCGGCGCGAATTCTCGTACTGGCCTCAACAGATGTGATACACACCTGTTGAACGTGGCAGGGGCATTACTGAGCCCTTGTGGCATTACTAGCCATTCCCAGAGCATGCCGCTAGGCGTGCTAACTGCGGTATAGGGTATATCCCGTTCCCGCATTAGGATTTGATAGAAGCCATCCATCAAATCCATGGACGAAAAGATGGTACTCTTTGACATACCATCAATGATTACGTCCTTCCTCGGTATCGGCGTCTGAGCCGGTACCGTTGCAGCGTTCAATTTGTTAAACGCGTGCACTATCCGCCACCCTCCTGTTGCTTTTCGCACACAGAAGGTCGGAGAGCTATGTGGGGAAGTTGATTCTCTCACATGGCCCGCTGCTAAACGATCGGCAAAGAACTTGTCGATCGCAAGTACTTGTTCACGAGGCAGTGGCCACTGCTTCATGACACAGTACTTCGAGCCTGGTTTAAGCTCGACTTCGTGTCGAATACCTTTATCCTTCGGTAATTCGCACGGAACAGTTTCAGGGAATACATCCTTGAATTCAACCAAATCTTCATAGAGAGGATTTTCCTTGAGCGATTCCCATGATTGGGACTCATATCGCTCAATTCGTGTCTTTTCATCTAGGACACTCTCGTCCATAGATGAACTACTGAGAACTCTCTCGTTCTCAGTAAACACTGTTGCTGACCTTATGTCGGTTACATACTCGTCTTCAGCGACGAGTATGCAGATCTGCTTGACTTTGCCACTACGCAGATCACGCAAGAACCTTTTATGTTCGAGCGTTGGCAACTGAGTGATCTCCGAAGTTAACTTCGGAGGCGCAATCAGATCAAGTGTATAAGCGCCTACACATGATCCGTTATTGACTATGACATTCAATGTCTCTGTCATTTCCTGGGGACTTATTCCCTCAGGCTTCGAAGGACTTATTCCTTCGTCTTCCCGGGGACTTATTCCCGCGGGTTTCGGGGAACTTATTTCCGCCGTATTGTATTATCGGGACTTGTTCCCTTTACTTCCTCTAGCTGGGGTTGCGCAACCACAGCGAGATCCTCTACGAAAGACTCTCCAGTCAATCTAGGATTATCGTTTCGCTTAACCTGAGCGATCGATTGTTTCTCTTCTAGATGTTCCCCTCTAGGGATACATCTTTGTCCCAGTCCACCCGAATTATTCGAGTGGTGGACCTTCGGCGCAGCCTGTGTTTCCTCACAGCCGCCGGAACTTTGCTCCGAAGTGTAACCGTTTGGTACACTAAGGTTTTGTGCAGTCGTACTAACGACCGTACCACAAGTGAGGCCATCGCACTCACTCGTAGTACATCCACACGCTTGTGGACTCTCCAAAACGTTCATCAGATGGCCATCTGATGAACAAGCGGCAGGCATCGTTACTGTCCGATGTTGCCAGTTTACCCGTGGTTCGTACCTTCTGAGCCACGGTATTCCAAGGATGACATCAAATTTGTCATCCAAATCCAATACGATAAAGTCATCGTCGTATTGGGTATCTTCTAGCGTATAGTGAATCTTCACTATACGCTTCATGACGGTTACGGATGCGCCTGTCGCAAGACGTACCGTCATCCTCGTAGGAGGTGTGTCACATTCACTGAATTTAAAGTGACCATCTTCTAGCGATTGGCGTCGCACAAAATTGTTGGACGCCCCACAATCGACTAGAGCTCGAAGGGACAACTTATTCGTCACTTCGAGTTTCAAGGTAATGAGTGAGATCTCATTACCTAGAGCAGCAACGCACAATGTCTGTGTGTTGGGAGCAACCTTCATCAAGAGGCCTACAAATTCTCTTGACGTTGCTGGATCAGTAGGGTGCTCCGCACCTACTGATCCTGTCCGTTTTTTGACGGTCCATCCCGTTGTTGCGTCTTTGCACCAACTGCGGACCCTCGTCCCTGCCCCTTTCTCATGGGTGGACGGTCACTACGCCCAGTGTCGCGAGACACTGGACGAGGGGCACTACACTCGTAAGCGTAGTGTCCTGTCTTTTGACATCTGTTGCATCTCTGCAACTTCTTGTAGCCTGTAGAGCGAGCCTTCTCGCTCTCTACATAACAGAGTTCCATCGGCTCTGGACCTCCGTTGTCATATCGTCTCGGTTGACGATATGATGTCGAGCTGGCGCGAGCCTGTCTCAGACTGAAGTCTTCCTGCTCCGCAATGGAAATGGCTTGTTCTAGTGAATCTAGTTCAAGCCGGAACAGGTGAGTCTTGACGGGACCATCCGCAAGACCCTGCATGAACACCGAAACCAACGTGTGTTCATCCACCGGATTGGAACTTATACAACTCGTGAGATGTCGTATATGTTGAGCGTAAGCGTGCACATCACGCTTACCCTGCTTGAGCTTCAAGAGTTCGGTTCGAGCTCTGAACTCAGCTCTAGGCGGTTCAAACGTTTGTCTGAGCCGCGACTTGAAGACTTCCAACGACCCAAACGCGTATGGGTCGTGCAGCTTGAGCCCCAGTGCCCAAGTCTTGGCACGTCCTGCCAGATTTGACTGGGCAAATGCAACTTGCATATCCCCGTCGTCGATGCGACGCGCCCTTATGGCGTCATCCAATTCGACGAACCATCTCAAGAGGGAGTCT